AGTTGGACCGATTATGTGAGAAATGAGGAAGTGTTAATTAGAGTCAGTGAGCAGAGGAATATCCTACACGAAATAAGAAAATGTAAGGCTAATTGGATTGGTCATATCTTACGCGGTAACTGCCTTCTAAAAGAAGTTATTGAAGGAAAGATAGAGGGGAGGATAGAAGTGACCAGAAGACGAGGAAGAAGACGTAAGAAGATGCTGGATGACCTTGGGGACAGAAGAGGATATTCTCATTTGAAGGAGAAAGCTCTAGATCGCATCAAATGGTGGAACTGTTTTGGAAGAGACTGTGGACCTGTCGTCTTGACAGATTACTGATGAATGAATGAACATAGAGAGCCGATAGGAATCCCTGGGCGGGGGATCATCCCGTCGCAAAGCCAATATTTACACAGAATAAATGGAGACAGACATCATGGCTTGAGTGGAATTCGAAGCACGGACTCCAGTGTTTGAGCGGGTGGATATACACGTAACTGCATGCATGATCAATCTTTTTGTACAAGTATGCTTGAGCGTCTGTAGGATAATTTTGAGCAAGCATTTTCGTTGTACAAGCGGCTTGAAGATTGAAGAATTTTCAAACTGCATGCTTGAACAAGCAGCGCTTGCGCAAGCAAAACTGAACGTGTGTGCTTCTAAGGGTCCCCATACACACACAGTTTGGCCTCCCGTTCGGCCTGCGCAGTTGAAGACTGAAAGGCAAAACTGACGTGTGTGGTGCGGCCGGCCAATCATTTGGACTCTTGGCCTGTAGGAAACCCGTCAGTTCTGCCTGCAGGATGTAGCACGTGACAGGCGGAACGTACGTGTGACCATACCGGCAGGCCAATCGCTCAGTTGCTCCTGCTGTCTCGTGTTCTTCCGTACTGTTTCGCGTTGTGGTCATTTCTCGTGGTATTTTGAAAGTCTGTGCTATGGCGACATGGTCGAAGGACTTTTTAGTGGAGTTTATCGAAGAATTTCGTGGTCATCCTTGCATTTGGAAGGTGAAGAGCAAAGAATACCACAACCGTGAGATGAAAGAGAATGCTTATTTAGCACTGACGGAAAAAATGAAAACAATTGACCCCCAAGCTAACAAGGAAACTGTGTTGAAAAAGATCAACAATCTACGAAGCAGTTTCAGGAAGGAACGGAAGAAAGTATTGATGGCTAAGAAATCTGGAATGAGTAGCGAAGACCTCTATGTCCCGAAATTGTGGTACTACAAATATTTGTTGTTCCTGGTAGACCAAGAAGAGGCCTTGGACGGGTTTTCAAGTCTTGTTAGTGATACGGAGGTAAGTGGTGTAATTAGAAATCAAACTTTTATTGCATGTTAACAATAATAGATTACAATGCTAAACCCTAAATAATTCTGTGCATGTGTACGGAATCAGAGCCTTCTGCCTGGATGTACTGTTTTTAAAAACAGAACTTATCTTGCCATGGAACTTTTCCCTCGTTGTTGAAATACTCCAAAAACAACTCTCTTACAAGTTTCGCATCCTGGGTAGGAAAATCCGCTGCCGTCTTTCCAGATCCACAAATTGACTGCAGCGATAACCAGGCGTAACATTCCCAGTTTCAAAATCCTCGTCATCCAAACACTCCAATGGTGTCTACTGATTCGGAATCTTGATGCGCAGAAAATTATGCAGGGTACAACATGCCATAACAATATGGCGGACGCTAGTCAAATCTATGATAGAAATGGGTTTCTGTAATACCGCAGATCTCTCCACAATGATACCAAAAACACTTTCAATCATTCGCTGAGCTCTAGACAAACGGTAGTTGAATATCTTACAAGCTTGTGTGTTTACTTTACTGCTGAAAGGCTTCATGATGTCTTTCCTCAGTGGAAAGGCATCATCTGCTACAAGAACAAAAGGCATATTTCTCCCAGAAACAATTGTTTCCTTTGGCACATTCAAACTCCCACTTTCGAGTGTCCTGTAGAAGTCTGTGCTTTGAAAAACTCCACCATTGGACACACGCCCATTTGATCCAAAATTGAAGTATAGTAACTCATAATTGGCGTTTGCAACCCCAAATAAAACCTGGCTGTGGAAATTTTTATAGTTAAAGAAGAATGATCCAGCCCCTGGAGGAGGCGTGATAGCCACATGTTTTCCATCCATGGGTCCTATGCAGTTGGGAAACTGCCACCGATCTTCAAACTCCTTAGCAACTTTCTTCCACCCCTCTTGCGATGTAGGGCACTGTAACCAGATGACAGAAGGCACTGAGAGGAAGAGAGAGACACACAGAGAGAGGGAGATTAACATGCTTGGGGTGTAACTATATTTTTGCGTTTTGTTGTTTACAGGACTTAGAAGAAACAGAACAAGAAGTTACACAAAAGTCAGCCTCTCCAGGCATTTCAGCGCACTCCTCTGTTTCAAATCAAAATGCAGAACTAAACATCAGCACTGGTCCCATGTCTTCCTACGGCTGTTCATTCAAACGTAAAAGGAAACTACCTGCTAGTGGTCAGATACTTGTGGCAGATGGTGATCGACTGGCTCAAGTGAAAAATGAGGACAGATTTGACTTCTTTGCAAAAAATGTCGCTGCCAAATTACGAGCATTAGGAAATAATGAACAAAGGATTTATGCAGAGAAATTAATAAATGACGCCCTTTTTGAAGCAGAGCTTGGATCGCTTTCTAGATACTCTTCAATCAATACCGGTACTGGAGCATACTATGCTCTTGGCCCTTAGTCAAATATCTCTTCGGGTTCCATCCGCGATGATTGCGTGGGTCACTACTAGAGAGGCGGGTCAATATTACTTTAATTCTTTAACTCCTGCCTGGGCTATAGTAACTGTTAGGCATGAGAGATTTTTTTAATGTGTGTACCATGACAATTTATTTATCTTCCTGTATTTATAAAGTTACCCTCACTTTTCATATCCTATGTAGTAAAAGTAAAAATGTCCAAAGAAACGTGTTTCACTTACTTACCTTGCAATACTTCCTCAGTACTTTGTAAATTGCTTCGCAGGTCTCAGGAATCACTCTTCCCAATGATTGAGGAGAGATACGAGTAGAAAATTTCAGGTCTTCAAGGGTTCTTCCAGTAGCTAGATAGCGAAGGGTTGCTGTCAATCTTTCATTGGGTATGATTACTTTTCTCATGTTCATATATTTTTTTTTATGTATGGCGAAACAGTACTTAACAGTTCCAGATAAGTACTTTCATCCATACGCAGGTAGTTGCTCCAGTCTTTTGGAAAACATTTAAGTTCTTGAAGCAAATCGATGTGAGTGAAATGATTTCTTCTTTCTGACCACTGTTTGGTCCCTAACTTGCGTCTGCGTTTCTTTCTTTTTAGCAATACACACGCCATAGCTGCATATGCAAACAGTTCATCAACTGTAGACATGTTTTAACAAATAAACAAGACTGCACCGCACTCGGCAACATAGGCTGGAACGGGCTGGAAGACTGACTGTGGCATGAAGCCTGCCGGTTTATCTGCTCGTGTATGGGGAAGGAAAGGGAGAGGCCAAACTGTCACAGTTTTGCCTGTAAGGTCGATCAGAAGGCCAAACTGTGTGTGTATGGGGGGCCTAAGCTTGTGCAAACAAGCGAACGTCAGTGGCGAATGAGAGCTCTCTGAGGGGAATACCTGTAGTTACAGTTCGCGCCATGACTAGCGATCTGCGAATAGGGACCCGAGAACTACTCGAAGAGTTTATTCGAACGTACCAATGTCAGCCTTGTCTCTGGCGCATTAAATCCAAAGAGTATCGTGATAAGGGGAAGAAGTACGCAGCATATAATATATTATTAGAAAAATATAAATTAATTGATCCGAACACCGACCGGGATACGGTGGTCAAGAAGATAAATAGCTTCAGAACTAATTATAGAATAGAAAAGAAAAAAAATTGAAGAATCTCGTCGCTCTGGCT